TCAACACTGATAAAAGGCATACAGCTGAAAATATTGCAAGTCTCTTAATTGAAGTGGTACAAAAATTCGGTCTAGAAACTAAAATTACTGCCTGTACTTCAGATAATGCCAATAATATTACCGCAGCAGTGCGCTGTTGCCAATGGCGCCAATTACGTTGTTTTGCACATAGTATTAATCTTGTTGTTCAAGAAGGAACTGAGGAGATTTCCAATACAGTTAAAAAAATTAAATCTATTGTGGCATACTTTAAACGAAGTTCACAGGGACTTTCCAAATTAAAAAAATGCCAAGAGCAAATGAATTTACCGCCACTTAAATTAAAGCAAGATGTGGTAACTAGGTGGAATTCTACCTATGAAATGTTGTCACGTATTTTAAAAATTAAAGAGGCTGTGATTTGTACATGCGCTCTTTTGCAAAATGAAGTAAAAACCGTTTTAACTGAACACGACTGGGAAATTATTACTTTTGCTGTAGAAACTTTAAAAATGTTTCTTGATATAACAAATGAAATTAGTTCAGAAAAAGAGGTTACATTATCGAAAGTTATTCCATTTGTTAAAATTATGAGAAAAAAAATAAGCGAGTATGTTAAAAATTTGCCAGAAAGAAATGCGCCTGAGGAAATAATAAATATGATTTTAAAATTAAAAGAGCAGATTGAGATAAGGTTTCAATTTATAGAAGAAAATGATCTTACAACTCAATCTACTTTACTGGATCCTCGCTTTAAAAAATATGGATTTTTCGACGACAATAAATTGAAAAAGGCATACGAAACGTTAAAAAAAAGAGTTACCGCTGTTAAACTTGATACAGAAACAATAACATCATCGCAATTAAAGGACAAATCTACAGAAGAAGCGAAAGATAATCAAGAAACATTTAATATTTGGAGTGATTTCGATCTCGAAGTAAAAAAATTGTCTGCGTCACATAATCCGCTGGCAGCTGGTATAATTGAACTTGATAAATATTTTAACGAGCCTCTTTTGCCCCGATCTGAAAATCCATTAATATGGTGGAAAGACAGATCAAAAGTATATCCACGTTTATTTGAACTAGTTAAAAAACGTTTATGTTTAATGGCAACATCGGTTCCATGTGAACGTATCTTTTCCAAGGCCGGACAGACTCTTACTGACAGAAGAAACAGATTAAATCCGAAAAAAGTTGAAGAAATTATGTTTTTAAATCATAATTTATAATATATTTTTAATTTTTTTTTTATTTATTTGAAAAAAGTTTGCTTCTTATTTATGTTTTAACAACTTTAAAAAAATGTAATGTGTATTTTTATTTTTATAAATGGTTATGCCAAAACCAAAGAATTATATATATTTTGTTACTTTTTTATTTTCATATATATTTGAATAAAATAAAAATATATTAGATGAATTATAATTGTTTAAAACTTTATATTAAACGCGACCGTGTAGCCAGTAAATTAATATAGGTATTTGTTTTTGATCTCCAAAATCTGATAATATTATTTAAATGTAAATCCCCACGTTGGAGTAAATCGCATCCCAAACGGCAACGTTGCGTAGATCCATCTATTTCATCTAAACAAAATGGTGGTCTGATTAATTTAACAACGTCAATGAAATATATATAAATTATAGTTATATAGATTGGTCATCCTTGTGGTTTTTAATGCCTTACATGAGCTTATTTCTTTAAGTAAAAATGTATGGGAATTATAATTATTTTTATTCCATATTCAATGGCTAAAATTTGGTTTAAAAACACATTTTTGCTAAACTGATTCTGATTATCGAGCACTTGTGAAGCAAATTGGCCGCGAATAATACGACTCGCTTTAAGCAAACTATATAACAATGTGTACCATTGACCCTGTCGGCCTGTCAAATCCGTTCAGACCCGACGCGATACCCAAACTCCGAACGAAAGAATTACAATACAGTAATACAGGATACCTATTCTCTAACTCATGGGAGCACTCCCACACTCCCATGCTCCCATACTCCCATGCCAACGTTGCCAAGTCGACAGAATAACTTTGATCTACTATTTAAGGACCGATCCACCGTTGTGTTAAACGAAGTTTAAAATTACATTTTTACATTAACAATGTCATTTTAATCTCCGTTTAACTCAACGGTGGAATCGGACCTTAGTAGTTCAAATTTGCTTTGTGATAAATACGGACCTAATCTGGCAAGTCCGCAATTCTCCCTTCCATAGTATAAAATCTGACCTTACTTACGCATGTACCCCACATACTTATAATAGGTATACGGAGCAAGAGAGACGTCCGACCTGTTTAACATAGGGGCGGCCATTTTTATACAAGATTACTAGTACATAGGTGACCAGAAATACAGCAATATGAAAACTTGGTTGCAGATGTCTAGGTCTTTTCACTTTTAAATACATCATTTTGTACAGATTTTTTAAAAGAAATAATACAATATTATATCTGAATTAAATTTTTATTCTACAACAAAAAAAATATTTTAATGTTTAAAAATATATGTTAGGACCAATTCCACCGTTGTGTTAAACGGATATTAAAATGACATTGTTAATGTAAAAATGTAATTTTAAACTTCGTTTAACACAACGGTGGAATCGGTTCTTAGACTGATAAATAATAGGCCGACAAATAATAGATTAAATACCTAAATACTAATTTTAAATGACAAAAGTACAGTAGAGGAAGTTAAAAATATTAAAATTTCCAGGATACTTTAAAATTAAATTGATGGTTGCATATTTGTTTTATTTTAAACAATTTACTTTCTTCTTGTATAATTTCTAAAAGCTACAAATTTTTAGTGAACGAGTCGTCCTTATTGATTCTGCAGTGAATTGTACTAACAACTTAAAAGAAATTTTGTCCAATCTCTATATGGCAGATAACCACAATAAGGAACGATCTGCTTGTTTTGGAACCCTAAAATAATATAAAGACACTTCTTTCATATCCTTTATTTTTGCTAAATCTTATTACTTACTTGTGGAATGTAACATTTGAATCTATTGGCAACAGTCTTCTTATGTTCTTGCAAGATCTTACAAGACATCTTGAATAAAGCCCAGTATAGAGAACTTATACTGGGATTAAAGTCTATTCACAAATGTTAAAATAAATAAAACGTTTATACACTTAGAAAATAATATCCACAATCAAAATATTCTAAAATAACACAAAAAAATTTAACCAAATTCACAAACACATTAAAATTTGACACTTTTGACAGATGGAAAGATAAATTGGTTGCATAAGTTTCAGTTTGTTTATATAAAAATGGCGGTCATTTCTATCTTCTTTTATTAAACACTCAGTAAAGATGCGCAGAGGGTTTTACGCCGTATACCTATTTAAGTATGTGATGTACCCACAAAGCACGTATCTTCTAGAGACCCCACGCCAATGTTAAACTTTTAAACCAAATTGGCGCCACCTTGTGTTTGGAGCTGGAACTAAAATGACAATTGACAGATGGCGGTAAATTCAAATTGTAATTGTTAGGAGTAGGTAGTAGTTTTAAATTAAATTTTAAATGATTTCCACATAAATTATTTTATAAAATAAAGAATGGAACTAGTAAGTTCGAAACTTTTATTTTACAAAATAATTTAGGTCGATTATACCAAATTTGAGGAATTAATTTGTTATAAGCAGGGGTCTGATGTGAAGAGTTGGTTCTGCATATTATTATTAAATAAATATAAGATATATCAATAAACAATAAAAAAGAACATTCTTAAAATATGTTTATTAATAACTTAAATAATATTATTAGATAAAAATAAATACAAATAATAATACATATTTAACGAATACTTACTTGCAGCAAATAGGTATATAATCTCAAATCTTTAAAATACCTATCAATAATTTAAATGTGAAGTAGAGACTAGGATATTACATTTTATTAACACTAAAATAATATATTTTATAAATGTCTTTTAAACCGAGGACAAATGTAATATAGGTATTGTATTAAAAGGTGAATCCTTTTAACTATTCATTCAATGATAAATAGGTATTTTCCTTCCAAATACAGATGGTGGTATTACTCCACTGCTTTGTGTATTACTCTCTTATGTGAAAAATGATTTCGGAATCTAGTCCAGTGATAAATTGATTATCAATTAGTTGTTATACCCGTTTCTTTTTATGATGCAGATGCATGGTGAATTAATGAAGTTTTTCTCGAAGTTTTCAACGTAGCACCCACAGGTAGCACCAAAATTATTGCAAAACACAGTAGTAAGACGAAACTATAAACAGAAACCAAAAGCCAAAGCCAACAAAAAATCACTAAAATCAGACGGAAAAATGAGATTAACCAAAAACATAAATAAATACACGTCACATCTTCTCCCATAAAGCTTAAAAATGGAGTAAGAAATCAGAATTTTACCAGTAGCCCCATCTAGAGTTTGGAGCAAATAGCATAAAAAATGTCAATTGTCGGTTTTGACCTTGGTCATTCACGTGGAACCTCTATGTGCTTTGTGCATGTACCTGGGCTAGTGTTGTGAATATCCGTATCTTTTTAGTATTCGGATAATACGTATTCGGAACCAAGAGATATTCGGATTCATCATCCGGATACGTATCCATATGTGTGAAATCATAATACGCAACCGTAAATACACCGCGACCTTGGGAATCGGAATCGGGCAGTGTTGTCAACCCTAGCAGAATTTATGTTTGAGAGTGAAGTAACAGGAGGTGCGTTTTAATCACCTTCTTCTGCTTCCGGAATTGTCTGTTTTGTCGTTTTAATCAGTCCCAATTCCGGAATGGGCAGCTACTTTTCCTCCGCACTAATTTTTTGGTAGAGGCAGAAGGAATGTCAATGTCAAATACTCATGTCATCATATAACAATTATCAAGTGCCAAATCGTAGAAGAAGATAGGTTAAAATAATCAATTTTTACCAGTTTTTATAAGATACACTTTTTGTGGGAAAGGACAAATTACAATTTTTTTGTGGTATAAAAAGAGCTGATCGAAGTGACGGTTTTAATAAAGAATGAGCGAACTAATAGAAACCGACAATGGAGAATACCTATGGTATAATCCAGAGAGTAAGTATGGTAACAATAAACTAGTAAAAATGTTTTTTTTACGAAGAAAATTGATTGTAGCAAAACAATACCACGTGGTGGAAGTAGCTGAACATCCACAAAAATCAGATGAGCACACTGTTTCCTGGGATAAATCTGAAACGACAAAATTATTAGATGAGCACACTGAAAAACCATCTACCTCAAAAGCTGCTTCCTGGGATAAATCTGAAACGACAAAATTATTAGATCTATGTATTGAATACAAAGAACAATTGTTTAGTCCTAAATATAAAAAAATTGAAATATATAAAATTATTTCTAAGAAACTAAATGAAAATGGCTATTCTTTCACAGAGAATCAGTGCTTTGGACGAATGAAAACCTTATTGTCAAAATACAAAGAAATTAAAGACCACAACTCAAAAACAGGTAATGATCCAAAAACATGGATGTATTTTAACATGGTAGCTAACTATGTTGGCGATAGACCTGGAATATCACCTGTTGCTGGTTGTTCCAGTTTATCGGCTGCTAAAAGACCAGCTGAACTGTCTACCAATAAAGAAAACAAAAGACCAAAAACGAAATTTTCGCCTCAAAAAGAAATGCTTAAATGGTTAAAAGACTATAAAGAAGATATTGCGGATAGGGAAAATAAGAAATTAAAGATTATGGAGAAACAACATGATGATAATCAAAAAGTATTGACAGAGATTTTATCACGATTGAAAAACAAACAATAAAAATAATATACCTTTATGTTTGACTAACTTGCTGATAAATTTTCTCGTTTAAGTTTGCAATGTTTCAGGTAAAATAATGTAAGAATATGTTTTTAAGTTTGTAAAGTTTTAGGTAAAATATAAGAATGTTTTTAAGTTATGTTTCAGGTAAAATAATATAAGAATATGTTTTTAAGTTTGTAATTTTTTAGGTCAAATAATATAAGAATGTTTTTTAAGTTTAAATTTGCAATATAAGAATATGTTTTTAGGTTTACAATATTTTAAGTAAAATATAGTAAGAATGTTTTTAATTTTATTAAAATAGATACAATGTGTTTCTTTTTATTATATTCTTTGATGTCTATTCCACAAGTCTTCACTAACTTGATTTCTCCTAATGATACCTTCATGTTCAACATTTCGATCTTCATCGAAATTAAGTAAAAGTAACTCATGTTGACCTTCATTTATATAGTCTTGAATATTGTCATCCTGTCCATGGACAATGCACATATTATGGAGAACACAAGACGCAACCACAATTTCCACAATATCTTTAGCCTCTTTAATATCTAGACAGTCTCTTAGACGCCTAAAACGCCCTTTTAATAAACCGAAAGCATGTTCAATTTTTACTCTTGTTTTGGAGTGAATTTTATTGTAATTTAACTGTACTGGCGTTAACTGTCCATAATTTTTATAAGGTGTTAAAACCCATTTTGAAAGAGGATATGCAGAATCACCAAGGACAAAAAAATTGGGTTCACATAAATTTGGTAAGACTTGAAAAATATCTGATGTTCTAAACACCCGTGCGTCATGAACTCCTCCTGGCCATCTGATATCTACATCAATAAATAAAAGATTTCCGTTACAAATACCTTGAAGAACCATGGAATAAAATTTTTTTCTGTTAAAATAATCATATCCATGAAGGATAGGTTTTGTAATGGGGATATGGCATCCATCTACTGCACCAATCGCATAATTTATACCATATTTTCCCATTGATTCTGCTCCTCTGTTTCCTTCTTCTGGCCACTTAATGTATAGTTTACACAGTTCACTATTTATAACCCTTGCCACTCTGTGTAGGCAATGAAACACTGTTGATTTGCAGACATTAAATCTATCTCCAATGGATCGAAAACTTTCAGGTGTACCCAAGATCCACAGAACCATTAATAACATTTTTTGCAATGGCACTATTGGGCGTCCACCATGGTGTCTTTTTCTTAGTGACCGAACATTTCCCATGATCATCAAAAACTGTTCAAAACATCCTGGCGTCATTCGGAAATGGCTTTTAAATGTTGAATAGTTATAAGATGGTATGACTTCTTCTACATAATTAGTTATTTTTGGTATATACTGGCGCTGCATCCTAAAACAGAATTTTACTACTAAATACGCATCTGAAATAGCTGCATATTACATACAACATTATTAATCTGTCCAATATCTGTGGATCCAGTTCACTATTTACTAGGTAAAAATCTCTAAATCTTGTGATGTTTTCAGAGTGTACTGTTATTATTATTGCAATTATGTCCTCCATATTATTTATCAAAATCAGCTATATTTATTTGCAAGTCTTTAAACGTTTATAAAAAAATAGTAAATAATAATAATACTTTTTTTCAAAAATTTTTGGCCTATATCCGGTAGGCAAAATAGTTTTACACCATGTCGCGTAATACTGAAAGCATTAAAGGCCAAAAATTCTGCAGATCGTTTTATTTGGCCCATTCCCTGCCAGAAGAAGCGGAAGATGATTAAAACGCACCCAGGAGCTTTTAATGTTTTAGAATAATAAACACAAGATAAATCTCAAATATTTTGTTTTTTATCATAATATCAGAAACAAAATTTCTCATTTATATTTATATAACTTCATGTTACCTTTAAAATATGCAGTGCATGCCGACTAACCGATTATGAAATTGCAACAACGCTAGACGATTCCGAATTCTGATTTCGTATCCATAGTTCGTATCGGCTGCCACCCGCAAAACCCGAATCGGCTCTGTCATAACAGAACTTGCAGCATTCGATTCGTGTATTACGATTTTGTTTCTGTTCTTTTTGATACCGAATTCGTATTCGAATTTACACTATTGATTCCGGAATATCCGGATCCTTTTAATATTCGGATTCAACGGATTTTTGGATACGTATTCTTACATCACTAACCTGGGCTAAAAGTGAGTAAGCACGATATACCCACCTAAGAGTAAGAGAGCAAAATATATGGGAGCACTCCCATGGGAGCGCTCCCATGACTTAGTGAATAGCTATCCAGGACAGGATACAATACCGATACCCGATACCGATCAGAGACGACGTATATCAATCATGTTCGTTCTCGTTCGTCGTTCTTTTCTCATCGCAGCCGCTGAAGATCCGAAGGTCGAGTCGAACTAGTGAACTAGTTCAATTAAAACATTCGAACTAGTTCATTTAGTTCACACAAAAGAACGGCTCATTTTAATAGTTCGTTCGCGAACTACACATCTCTAACAAATATAAGGTTTGTTCCAACTTGGTGTTTGGTACCGTTCTTGTATCATACCAACATCAGTTTATGAACGATGTACTGCGCAAGCTCATCTCTGAATGGTTTTGGAATCGAAAATGAGTTGGAACGCTTTTAAAACTGCTGATGGTTCATAAATAAATAAAATAGAAGAGAAAGAAAATTCTAACCAAACTTTTTGAAAAGAAAATAAAAATAAACTAGTTTTCTATTTTATAATTATGGATGTTATTGAAAGAAAATTCTAACCAAACTTTTTGAAAAGAAAATAAAAATAAACTAGTTTTCTATTTTATAATTATGGATGTTATTGATTTTTTATTGTATCATTCTATATTCTATTCTAAATAATTTTGTTTATTATCCTTTCTCAATTTACCATTAATTCTAAATCATCGTCACTAGCATCATCATCAAAAAAATTACTGTCTCCTTCTATATCACTCATTTTTTTTCCAAATATGATTTATAAACAGTATGTTCTAAATAAAAATGTATATTTTGTTATTATCTACCTATCAAAACATAAAAACGCTGTAAATTTGTAGGTTAAGTTAACTAAAACTAACCTCTATCGGCTCTATCAACATATATCGATCGCTTTGCGCAAGTCAGTTCTAACAGTTCCACAAAAATTTGTGAATCGATATGACGGTACAGAAACGATTCCTGAATCATCCATTTTTTAGTTGGAACGAATTCTTTATCAACCCGCACATCGTACAAATTAAGTTGGAACGCTTGGAGTGTAATACGCATGCGCTGTACCGTTACGGAATGGTTATGTATCAAGTTGGAACAAACCTATAGACTTTTGTTTACATTTTATCGAAGTAGTTTTTGTAATACATTCACAGCTTAAAAACGGAAAATTTGTTATTTTGATAGTGGATTTAGATCAAAAATACCCCAAATACACTTCAGTGTGTGTTTTATCCTTATTATTGCTCGTTTTATTTGAGGACATTGGAATAAATAGAGTACTATAAAAGTAATCAAGCTAAGAAGGTGTTATAAAAAGAAAATACATTGCCTTCGACTGATTTATGTTTAATATGTTTTCGTGAAGTATTTCCATCATGCTAGTTACTTGAATGGTTGTAAATTGTACGTGTATAAGTGATAAAAACATCTAGTGCTTTGTGCTTCCTTTTTTTGTTGGTGTCCCAGCCCAGCATTCCTAGCCAGCAGTAGTAGCAAAAACATTAACACTGTCTACATTCAACCCATTTACATGTACATGATTTATCAGCTAAAAGCAGAATACAATATTTCTCTGTAAAATGTAAACAACGCTACAAGGAAAATTGCTCATGTATAAATTCAACAATTAAATCAAAATATATTATTTTTAAAGTACTTATATCAACTATTATGTTAATTATAAATATTATAAGTATTTGTAACAAAATAATAGTTGTGTATTAATAAACCTGTTGCTACTCCAAAAAATATATTATTTATTATCAGGTATCAAAAATATGTGTACCTATAGAAATTTGTTGAAATGTTCTATTGCTCTTAATCTTTTTAATGGGTTCTTATTATAGTTGTAAATAAAAATCAACACTTTTTATCTGTCTATTTAACACTTACAAACGTATGCATATTTTAAGTTGTAAGGATCCATCAGCCTCTTAATGTTTTACATTAGAAATAAGACCTGTGATGTCACATTAAATCGTGAATATGGGGTAAAGGATTTGGGAGTTGTCTTTCAGTCTAATTTGAAGTTCAATAACCATTTTTTACACATAACTAAAAAATCAATAGAAGTATTAGGTTTTTAAATCAGAAATACAAAAAAATTTAGGATTACTACCAAAATCAGATTATATAATGCCTTAGTAAGACTCCATCTTGAGTATGTTTAACAAATATGGATGCCCTTGGAAGCCACACAAATTGATCATATTGAAAAAGTACAAAAAATATTTTTACGGTACCTTTATGTCATAGAAAATACTTGTACCCTTATACCTAAGATCTCGTATAAAACTATGCTCAATAGTTTTAAGATTAAATCTCTTTTACAAAGAAGAAAGCAACAGGCTGTGATATATTTTGTACTCTATTTTAAGTACAAAGATTGTGAATTGATTGACCATATAAATGTTAATGCGGCAAAGATTAATCTAAGAAACCCAAGTAACAAAAAATTATTTGATTTAGATCCAAGTAGTAAATCTCCTTTTAACAAGATGATGGCTGTTACCAATGAGTTTCTTAGCGAGATCCAAATAGATATCTTTAATGTTAGCCTAAGAAAGTTGAGGACTGTACTAAATAATTAAGTTCACAAGATATAAAGGTTTGTTTTGTTTTTGGTCTTAAATTTCTTGTTACTTAACTCTACATGTAACTACTATTAATTTTTTATAGTATCCAATAAATAAATTATACCTTATGGCTGCTTTCAAACAATTCTGTGTGTAGTCACTTAGTTTAAAGTCAATTTTAAATTAGTGGTTTTACAATGTCAAATAGTAATATGTATTGTTTAAAGTTGAAGGTAGTAGCCATGTGTGAGTTATATGTTCAAAAAAGAGGTAAATAAAACAAGGGTGGTCCTTAAGATCTCACAAGAGTATATACTCTTGTGAGATCTTAAGGACCACCCTTGTTTTATTTACCTCTTTTTTGAATATGTACTGTGTCTATGAATTTGCTGTGTGTAGTAAATGGCCAATATACATCTTTGATATTTTTATCACAAGTGTAAAAACTACGAAAACCA